AATATTTACAATGATATTTTTTGTTTTTATTCAGATCACATCATCCTATATTTTATCATCAGCGCAGAAATAGAAAAATAGATATAGTTTTTTTTTGGGTAGGTTTAGACAAATCATGAGCTGTTGATCTGACGGATTTGCCCGTGGCCAACATTGAAATTTTGTCAATGCTATAGATTTCCTATGATGTTGATTTGAGTTTCATCCAATAGAAGGTCTTTTTTCAACTAGTTAAAGCAGTTACCTACTATTAATCCATGACACTTTATTATAAACAGTTATATCAAACACTGCAAAATTAATAACCGTGACCATCTATCATACGCTTTTTCCATATACATACATACCTAATATAAACTGTTGAAAGATAGTTTACAGTGGCCGATCCGCAAACCAAAATAAACACTTTTGAGATGCTCATTAATCAGACTTAATGATTTTTGAATGTGAGCTGAAATAGTAGTCGGAAGTTAATGAACCTCTTGTTATGTATACAAATTGGAAAATGTATCCAAACAATATACCTAACAGTATAGTGCATCTGTCTCTGGTAACTGGAATGTTTTTTGTTGGTATAGTGGGAATGTTTAGGTTATAATTCCAACTTGCGATTTAAAAATTTGGATCGATGATCGAATTTATTTTTTGACGTAGTTATTACGACGAACAGGACTTAGAAGAAGTTGAAATAAATTCTTAGAGTAAATTGCAGTGTGCCAGGATGAGCACAAAAAGATAGCTGCCTTTAGGCGCTACTTTCAGTTCACGGATGTGCATTTATATTTTATACTTTCCGATTATTTGCACATTTTAAGCATAGAAGAGTTGAAGAGTATAAATAGTTGGGAGCTCATTTAGGAAAGAGTACTAACTTGTACTACCCAGTGTATGAAAACTAAAATGTTATTAGAACATGTTTCTGTTATACGCGACAGAAGCGGGTTGAAAGAATACAGGTTCTCTTCGCTCATTTTCAAAGACAGTTTAATGAAAATATCTGTTCAATAACAAGCTGTGCATATGGGGCATAAGTAAAAAAATTTAACATTTAAAATGAAATTTCCGGTAGAAGCCAAATGTGTTTTAAAGTCGCATTTACCCCAAGTGTGGATGGAGTAGGTACTTTTCATTTGACTATATTGTTAGGGATGCTGTAAAAGCAGGAAAGTGGTAGGAATGTGTTGGGGAAGTAGGATTAAGGGGGAAGATTATCGAATATTATGTTGGGATTGTTTCGTTTATAATATCTTTGAAATATTTTGATTTCTGTACCTCAGAGCCAACAAATAACAAATTTGATAAGGGTTGCTTATATTGGGGTTGTTGAATTCAGATGAGTTTCGGTTGGCATTTTTAAAGGCGTTGCCGATTAAAGCAGATATTTCTGAGAAGCTATTAAATTTTCAGGATCGAGTTATGGATTGATTCGTCTATTGATTGGCCGGGTATGAAGCTAGACCAATCTTACACCAAAATCTAGTTGATTAAAATACTTCTATAGGCAATATTAATTATAAAACAGCATCATAGAGAAAGTCATCTAAAGTAGACTTTTGCGGAAAAACCGAAAAAAAAGTTACATTCAAATATTAGGCCAAGCAATGAAGGAAGTTTACCTCAACATAATTAGAAGTTAACATTTTTTGGGGGGATCGGTTCATTTTCATGTGCTTAATAACATATTAAGTTTGCGACCTTGTACTTCCATAGGGTTTTTAGTTAGGGGTGGTTTTTAGGGGTAATTTGCGGTTTATGGAGAACGCTGCTCAAAGGGATGGTCCAATAGCAAAAAGTTTCAAATGAATGTTGTAGCTGAAGTTTTTTGCTATAAAAAACTCAGCGACAGCACCCCTCTATCTTCTATAGTTTTCTTTCTGCAGCGTCTTGAATAGTAGCATGTTTTTGTTCAAGGTTACTGAATCAACGTTTTGCCATTTTGCGCGCATTTGTTGCAGCAGCGGCCGAATGCATAACTTGAAAATTAAGCGAGAGCACGGACTTGTCTAATGTGCGAGGAAGTTGTAAATTGCATCGAAAACTACCCCTTTCTTGCATTCACTGTAATTTCTAAATGGGGCCAAATATTTGGTGACAGTTTTCGACAATCGGCAGCCCATTTATTCCTCTCATAATGCCCCAGCGGATTTTTTTTTTCGTTAATTACTCAATGACTTATTGGCCTGAAAACGTCGCGCGGGATTTTTCAAAAAGTAAAAAAGAAATTAAAATTGTCGCATATGGCGCTGAAATTTGGTACGATGGCTTTATTTATTGTTCTCATGAATATACTGCAATTTTATATCATGTGAAGGAATCAAAATTGCAGTATATTCGTAAGAACAATAAATAAGGCCATCGTACCAAATTTCAGCGCTATGCGACAATTTTAATTTTTTTTTACTTTTTGAAAAATCCCGCGCGACGTTTTCAGGCCAATAAGTCATTAGGTAATTAACGAAAAAAAAAAATCCGGTGGGGCATTATGAGAGAAATAAATGGCCGATTGTCGAAAACCACCAAATATTTGGCCCCGTTTAGAAATTACAGTGAATGCAAGAAAGGGGTAGTTTTCGATGCAATTTACAACTTCCTCGCACATTAGACAAGTCCGTGCTCGCTTAATTTTCAAGCAAAAAATTCGAACAAAAAGGCATTGGAGAGTGTATTTCATTAGCAATAATGTGGTGTTTGAAAAATGGAAATCGGATTATGCATTCGGCCGCTGCTGCAACAAATGCGCGCAAAATGGCAAAACGTTGATTCAGTAACCTTAAACAAAAACATGTTACTATTCAAGACGCTGCAGAAAAAAAACTATAGAAGATAAAGGGGTGCTGTCGCTGAGTTTTTTATAGCAAAAAAATTCAGCTACAACATTCATTTGAAACTTTTTGCTATTGAACCATCCCTTTGAGCAGCGTTCTCTATAAACCCCAAATTACCCCTAAAAATCACCCCTAACTGAAAACCCTATGGAAGTACAAGGTCGCAAACTTAATATGTTGTTTAGCATATTAAAATGGACCGATCCCCCCAAAAAAATTTCAACTTCTAATTATGTTGAGGTAAACCCTCTTTTCAGATCCCCGTTTCTTGGACTATATCCTATTAAAGCTATTAGAAAGTTTGTATATGAATGTAGAAGCAATTATACACCTAAATTGAAATATACACACCTTTTCTATGTGATTCATCCAATGTACACAAACTAGTGTGAACCACAAGTTTCTTCAAAAAATTGGAATTAAACTGAGCATCAAATAAATTCAATTATTCAAATGATACCCGCTTGTTTGTCCGCTAATTAACTAATCAGGCTGCGTTTTCACCGCCCCGCACCAGTAAAATGAAAATGAGGAGAGCTTTTCAGGAAACTGAAACTGATAGCTTTAGTTGAAAACAATCGAATAACGCGGGCACTTTCTGGATGGCGCTTGATGTTCTCTCTTTTTCGTGCGCTGCGCTTTGAAATGTTGCCTTGCTTTTTGAAAGAGACAAAGCACCAACGACAACATAAATCTAGAGAATCTAAAATTATTAGGTACCTATTCAACATAGGAATCTAAAAAAATATCTTGGTTCTATTCCAAGATGTTTTCCAGACAACAATGTTTGATGTGTAGTGTATGTTATACAAAGATAGTTTTATCTAAACTGCTGGACAATTGCTTTTGAGCAAGGAAATTTTTTCGCCTAACTTTCGAGCTCAATATTTTTGAACCAGACCAATCGACCATCCAGTTTTCACGAGCTGACAGATTGACTTTTTGTGGAAAAAAAATGCTATATGGATACCAGAGGTCGATATTTTGGTTCCAAAAATATCGAGGTTGAAAGTTAGGCCAAATTTGCCTTCTGCTCGAAAGCAATTGTCCAGCAGTTTAGTTATTGACGCCCCCTTAGGGAATATACCCTTATTTGATTTGTCATTTATTATTGACCTATTTTATTTACTTTGACGTATGTACATTGCTTTTTTGTGATCTTTGTGATCTTAACATGAATAATAGCCCTTCTCATGATATTTTTTTACAGGTGCAGCTTTTTCTAATCAATAAAAGACTAGCTGTAATAAAATTGTATCTCTCATAAATATTTATTGGAGCAAATAAAATAGTCTGCTGATATGGGGGACACATGACTGCACCTTTATAATCGACTAATGGGATTCGGATTCGAATGTGTAGCTCTACTAGGTAGATAAATAAATGCACTGCTAAGGGATAAAGTGTTTATAGAAGCGTTTTTAATGTACTTTTGGTGACTCTGGAATAAGAAAAGTTATTTGAAACTAATATGAAAAAACTTAAATTTCTTTGCGCTTTTCTATAGAAAATAGGGAATTTTTTTTACATAATTCCTCTTCAACGTTTTAATGCGAAATTAGCACAATTCCAGGAACAAAACAACAGCACTACTGCATATAAAAAGAACGACGGAACAGCTAGGGGATTCCATTTGCTATCGAGACCAAAAGCGCCTAATCCGATATCGTATTTTCAATTGGAATTCGGGCCCAGCTTCATTTTTCAAATCGTCAAACCGAATTTTTAGTTTCACTGTCATGAGAGTCAAGTCAAAGATGTCATATTTGATTTGGCGGGAAAGTCGGATCGGATAACAGATTTCGGCCCTTTTAATTTTTCTTAACAATAACCATAACGAATTCCTCTTGTTTTGTCCTAATTTTGGCGTATTCACTGAAACATAGGGTAATTTGCCTATTTTTGCCGTTTTGAAACAAACTGATACACTTTTCCTCACACCAAGAGACTCAAGGCCCTCAAAATGTCTTTAAGTTTCTATAGTAATAAACATTGAACTCTGAGCATCCTTGTTTCCCATTTAATGAAATAAAATTTAATTTAGATTCTCACTTTTCCAGTTATAAGCTCAAAATCGAGTTAACCAAATTATACAGACATATCATAATTAAGTTGAAATAAAGTTCATCAGACCCAACACTACATAAGAAGGAATTTTATAAAATATATTTATTTAGTAAAACAAGAAAAAAATCACAATATGAAACTTAAAATAACTTAGTAGTACAAAAATATATGCATATGTATATAATAATCTTAACGTTTACATGATAAAACAAAATATTTTTAACGATAAGAAAAACTTTAGTGCACAGCTTATTCAAAACTTTTAAGTAAAAATAAACTAAACGAATAAAAATATTTCAGAGAGTTATTTGATAACAATGTAACAATAATTTAATTAGAAATATATATCTTATTATTATTAATACATACTTTAAATATGATTCAAATGAATGAATGAAATAGATCAAAAAAAGATATATTAGAAAATGTCATTACCTACAAGTCTTAGAAAGTACTCCAGCGAAACAGATATGGCGTTTTGATTTTACTTCAATATACAGTGTGATTTTTTAAGTGTGCAACATATGGGGATTTTTTTTAGTAATAGCACAACCCAAATACAAACATGGCCAAAAGTTGGTGCATGTCTGATAATCATATTAGGTGCACTTAGAATGGTTGCAAGTCAAACAGCATACAGGGTAGCTCCAACAATATCAAAGCTGTACAGTAAAGTACCCTTATTTTCGAAAATTCAGCAAAATGTTATAGAGAAAAGTTGTTTGGAATTAAAAGTTATGCCTAAATACCAAAACATAGCCTCCTAAGATTTTTTTTATTTTCTTTCGAAAAAAATCTATAATTTCTATATTTTCTTTATTTTCTATTTCTGCCCTTAATACTTTCAAAAATTAATTCAAATCAAATCAATTTTACATAAGTTTGTTCAAATTCAAGCATATTTGTAAATTTAACTTAGATTTTTAATTTTTTATGGAATCACAAAATTCATGTTTGTTGCAATGATATTCAACACAACTTTGAAATGTCGCAATTTTTTTTTAACAAGTTAAAACATTACTAGTGATAATAGCCATATTAAAAAAACTCTCCTTAAAGTGCAAAAGTTTTATTTTATTTAAGTAAATATTAGTAGAATTTTGATATTATTTGAGCCACCCTGTATGCTGTTTGACTTGCAACCATTCTAAGTGCACCTAATATGATTATCAGACATGCACCAACTTTTGGCTTTGTTTGTATTTTGATTGTGCTATGACTAAAAAAAAATCCCGTATGTTGCACACTTAAGTAATGACACTGTATAAGTTTTTCATTTGTTACGATATATTGCTGATTTTTGCTCATAAGGCTTAACAAGTATGTATTATTAAATAATAATGGCAACCAATAGTAAACATTGAAAGATAGGCTAGTAAAAAATGTGATGTATGAAACCTAATTCAATTCTGCAATTTCTAAATACTAAAATTCATTGAAAACAGAATAAATCAGGAATATAATTATCGAAAAACTCAAATTATGACATTATTTTAAAATAAATTGAATTTTTTTTTCTTTCCCTTCTCTGACACCTCAGTTTCATCCACATCCTTATCAATATCCACCTTAAGATCTTTTTCCTTTTTGTGTTTGAACGTTTGAATGATTTTGCTGATTTTCTTGTGTTTCTTCTTTTTCTTCGCTTCACTTTCTGTGCTAGGCGAATCCTTTTCGTCATCTCTTTTCGAACTGTAAAGGTTTAATTGACTACGGATGCTGTTATCTTCTTCTGTTTCCCTCCTCCTGTCCATTTCGAGACAATCAATGATTTCATTTCTTCTCTCCACAATTTCCACCAACCTGAAAATAACAAAATGTTTTAAATCATATCAAAATAATTCTTAAACTATTCAAGACAGGGAAACAAAAAAACCATCTCCAACTACAGTGACAGAGCTTATCGACCACTGCACAAAGGACAACCAACACAAGTGTTCACCACGCAGCCCAGGCAACAATCACTCTATTGAATTATTTATTGGGAAAAGGACTTTTTGTAAAAAAACAACCTCCGGTAATAAAAATAGAACTGATTTACTTGATTTAACAATCAGCTCGATAATAACGGTAGGCACCAGTCCCTTTTGGTGAAAATACTACTAACTGGATATTAGTGTTGTAGAATGCTTGAGAATTTATTTTTGGAGAACGTTCTCCGAGCACGAGAGAGAATAATGAGCATGAAAGAAAAAAAGTAAGGGAAGATATGAAGATAATAAAAAATGGAACTTGTGGAAGCCATCGATTTTGTGATTTCTACGCGAACAAACCTACTTACACGTTTTAAAATTGATATCCAATGAAAAACCGGCAAACGGGACGACAAAAACTGGCGTTTGAATCCCTGAAAGCAAACCCTGCTGGGTCCCTATTCTTGAAACAGGGGAGCAGCGTTCCCGAGAGAACGAGTGTTCCGTCTTTGTTACTTATATTATCATTTTCATATCATTGGGAAAGAAGGAACACTCGTTCTCCTGCGAACGCTGCTCCCCTGTTTCAAGAATAAGGATCCTGGTCGCCTGTTGACTGTTGAGAATTTTTCTCGATCCCCTAACCACAGTGTTGGAAAATAACTGTTATTTATTATGCTAGTTTTTATCTAGGAACGTTCTCGTTTATGCTGATTCGTGCTTTTGAGAAGGAACGTTCCCACTTAAGTCTTAAACGTTCGCGAACGTTCTTCGAAAATAAACAGGAACGTTACATAATTTACAACACTACTATTAAGGGCCCCATACACTACGATGAAACACGACGGTTTTCATCGCCACGGTGAAACACGTCGTTCTAAAACCGAAGTGTGTAATAGAAAAACACGACGGTTTTCTACAGGGCCCCACAGACTACGATGAAACACGACGGTTTTCATCGCCACGAGGAAACACGTCGTTCCAAAACCGAAGTGTGTGGTAGAAAACCGTCGTGTTTCATCGTCGGTTTAAAATTCAGTCCGAGCTTGATTTTTGGCACGACGGTTCAATATTTCGTACACACGAACGGTTTTCTACCACACACTTCGGTTTTGGAACGACGTGTTTCCTCGTGGCGATGAAAACCGTCGTGTTTCATCGTAGTCTGTGGGGCCCTGGAGAAAACCGTCGTGTTTTTCTATTAAAGGGCCCCATACACTACGGTGAAACACGACGGTTTTCACCGCCACGATGAAACACGTCATTCTAAAACCGAAGTGTGTTATAGAAAAACACGACGGTTTTCTACAGGGCCCCACAGACTACGAGGAAACACGACGGTTTTCATCGCCACGATAAAACACGTCGTTCCAAAAACGAAGTATGTGTGGTAGAGAAAACCGTTCGTGTGTACGAAATGTTGAACCGTCGTGCCAAAAATCAAGCTCGGACTGAATTTTGAACCGACGATGAAACACGACGGTTTTCTACCACACACGTGTTTTATCGTGGCGATGAAAACCGTCGTGTTTCCTCGTAGTCTGTGGGGCCCTGTAGAAAACCGTCGTGTTTTTCTATAACACACTTTGGTTTTAGAACGACGTGTTTCATCGTGGCGGTGAAAACCGTCGTGTTTTATCGTAGTGTATAGGGCCCTTTGCACACTTCGGTTTTAGAACGACGTGTTTCACCGCGGCGATGAAAACCGTCGTGTTTCATCGTAGTGTATGGGGCCCTTTATTCCTTTATTGTTTATAATGAAATTACATTCATATTTCATATAACAAGGAGACATTTTTTACAACTTAGTTTGCTATCTAGAGCACAAATGTTTATAAATCGGCATTTCCTTTGAACCTTATTATTTAAACTTATAGCGTTCGTTCCGCTGGTTTTCTGGTTAAAAAAAAAAGAAAAAGAAGAAAAAGTTAGAATAAGAAATTACCCAAATTTATTCCATTCTAATAAGATGTGCGCAATTGTTTCAAACTTGTTCAGATTACAGATTGTACACAACAGCTTCTGAAAAATCTTGTAGGCAATTTTGTTGAAATAAAAGGTAACTGTGTATTTTGAAGACAATTTTAAGTTGGATAAGATTCTGGAGAAAGTAGTACTCAATTTTAGCTTGAGATATGACTGCGGGTTCGAGTCTATTAAGAAGTGACCATAGAATTGAGGGTAGTTGGACAGCTTGAAGTTTGACGTAAGAAGTCTGCATATGAATTTAGGAGTAATTTTTTAGATTTTTTCAGTTTGGTTAAATATAAGTTATTCCAAATGTCGCCTTTGTTTATTGAAGAACATCAGCGACCCAGTTGTATTTGGACTCTTCGAATTAGCCAGCCCGGAGTGGATCTGGGTAAGGACAGTAATGTTTTGAAGTATGTGGTTTGTACCTTTTCAAGAGGATCCGTATATCGTAGAGCCCAAATTGGCATGCAGTGTGCGAATGAGTCAATCACTTTTTATCACAATTTACAACACTACTGGGTAATCTGAAAAAACGAAGTTGACTATCAGACATATGAGAGACTGGATACACCAGTGCTTTCAGAAACGGAAAAAACTCAGAAATTATCCAGCGAGGAGCGAGTTGAAGGGTATATCAAAAGATCCCCACAAAAAAAAATGTCATACCGTTTACAACGAAAATAAAACTCGACCATCTGATACCCCTCACCTTGTGGGGTGTGACGGTACCCTTTGCAAACGAAGGTAAATATCTAGGACTTACTTTAGATAAAAGGCGGACTTTCCCTTTGGCAAATTAAAACAGAAAGCAAATTTAGTTCTATGGACTTGCCCTAGGATTTGTGGTAGCACATGAGAAATAAGGCCACAACACAAAATGGCTATACATTATGGTCAAAAGACTAATCAAAGGCTACTGTCAGATGAGCTAAGGGGTAGCCACGCAGGGCCATAACGAAACGACACTGGAGGAAGCATTTTGTACCACACTAATTACAACTATGAAGCTTTTTTAAGGAATGCCCCCTCTGCATATTTATAGCACAACACACAAATCATGCCAACAACCACCAGGTGGAATTAGGAGGTACTGAATTCTTCTTCTTCAAGTACCATGTTCTTTTCGAACGTTGGCTATCATCAGCGCAATTTGCACCTTGTCCACTGCTTTTCTGAAAAGTGTAGTTGTGCTAACACCATACAATTGTCTAAGATTTGTTAGCGATGATATTCGTCTACGGCCTGGACCTCTTTTTCCTTCAATTTTTCCCTCTATTATCAGTTTAAGAAGTTCATATTTGTCATTTCTTAAAATGTGTCCAAAATATTCAAGTTTACGTTTTTTGATGGTGAATAAAACTTCAAACTCCTTATCTATTATAAGAAGATATTCTGTCCATCGAAGATATTCTGAGCATTCTACGATAGCACCACATCTCAAATGATTCCAATATTTTTACTCATGGGATCAGTTAATGTCCACGCCTCTACACCGTAATATAAAATGCAAAACACATAACAACGAAGCACACGAATTCGGAGAGTGCTATTGAGATCGCGACTACACAACACTGAATTCATTTTAACAAAAGACGATCTGGCCTGTTCGATTCTTGCCCGTTGTCCCAGTTTTCATTAAGCTGACAACCCAGGTATTTGTAAGAATTAATGCGTTCGACTTGTTGGCCATTGACTTCTAATAATATGCCCCTAATATTCCTTTTTTTAGCTATAACCATCCATTTTGTTTTTCCTACATTTAAGTTAAGTCCAAATTGCGAGCTTTGGCCTGAAACTTTATTCAGGAGCTCCTGCAGACCTTCCAGTGTATCTGCGATAATAACTGTGTCATCGGCATATCTTAGGTTGTTGATTTCTATGCCATTTATAGTCAAGCCCTGTTTGCAGTTGTGCAGTGCGTTCTCTATGATTTTATTGCTGTAGATATTAAACAACAGTGGAGACAATATGCAACCATGGCGAACACCTCTCCGTATTCGAACATCTTCGAACAATTGGCCACCAACCTTTATCTGAACTGTCTGGTTCCAGTATAGGTTGGCAATTATATTTAGGTCTCGACCATCTAGACCAACTTCTTTAAGATATTCTATGAGCTTTTCGTGCTGGACTCGATCAAAAGCCTTCTCATAATCTATGAAACAGGCATATACTGGCACCAACACATCCCTAGAACGTTGAACCAAGACCTCAATACCAAATAAAGTCTCTCTAGTACCAAACCCTCCACGAAATCCAAACTGTGAGTCTCCCACTTTCCGTATATTTTTTTATGGATAATCTTTGAAAATATTTTCAGCATATGACTCATTAGGCAGATTAAACGGTAATCACTACACTTCTTTGCTGGGTGCTTTTTAGGCAGTGTAACAAAGGTTGATTTCATCCAGTCAACGGGAATTTTACCGCTGCGATAAATCAAGTTATATAAAAATCTTTGTTCTTTAGAAGTTTTAAAACTTCCGTGCATACTTCGTCTTGCCCTACCGCTTTTCTGGTTCTAGCCAAAGATATTGCGTGCTGAACTTCTTCTTTTGTAATGTCTATGCCTTGGTTTGAGAATTTCTCTGGATGTTCGGACCGATAATCGCTAAAAAGATTTTCTATGTATTGAGTTACACCATTCTTGTAATTTTACTTTGGTATCAGGTATAATTTTGCCTTGGTTGTCCACAAGGATTCCTGCTTGTTTTTTATTAAATAATCCGGTCGCTTCCTTCATGTGCTTGAGCAAATTAAACGTGTCATGTTTAGCATCGAGATCTTCCATTTCTTGCCATTGTTGTGTTATCCATTCTTGTTTTGCCATGTTTTTTATTAGTCTATTCATATCCTTGAAGGTTCCCTTTTGTCTTTTATCCATTAAATTTAAAATTCCGTCAGTCATCCAAACTTTCTTTTTTTTTCTTGGTTCACTTCTGCACAAAAGTGCTGTGGTCTCAACGATGGCATTTTTGACGTCTGTCCAGACTTTTTCTGCATTTTGTTCAATAGATTCGCCAATGTGTTTAAGCCTTTGTTTAAATCGGCTTTAATATCAGTTGCTACCACGCTATTTTGAAATTCGGTTATTTTGGGTCTGGGTTTATTATTTAGGGGACGATTTTTCTTAGGAATAAATCTAATTTTGGCCACAACAGGATTGTGGTCTGCGTTTTATATCTGCGCCATGGTAATTTTTTGCTGATTTTATGCAATTTTTGTAACGCTTTTCAATTAAAATGTAGTCTATTTGATTCCGAACGATCCTCTCTGGAGTATCAGCGTAAGAGACCCAGGTGTATAGGCGCCTAGCTGGAAGTTTGAAGAAAGTGTTTTACACGACAAAATCATTTTCCTGGCAAAATGGAAAAAGGCGATCTCCATGCTCATTTGGTTTACCTAGACCGTATCTTCCAAGAATGTATTCTCGTAAAGTGTTTCCTAGTTTCCTAGCATTGAAATCCCCCATAACAATTGTGATTTCAGACTACTTTGTGAAGCTTAGGGCGGTTTGAATTTGATAGTAAAATGTCTCTATGACATCGTCTGAGTGTTCACTTGTAGGAGCGTACACTTGAATAATGGTAACAATTGCAGGGTTTGGAGTTTAACTGGAGAAATATGACTCGATCCGACAGAGGGACAAAGGAGATTAGGAATTTCTGAGTTTCTTTGTTTAGAATAATTGCGACGCCTTTATAGTGATTTGGGTCGTCATTGCCTGCGTCATAGATATGGTGATCGTCTATCTGGCATTCACCTGAATTAGGCCATCTTACTTCACAAACTCCCAAAATCTCTATTTCTAACCTTTTCATCTCTCTGACAACATTATTCACTTTGCCTGGCTGAAACATATTTTGAACGTTCCAGGTTGCAATCTTCTTCATGACAGGCCCGGAGATTCTTAGCACCCTCTAATCACTTAAGACCTGCAAGGGACTGAGGGCCTGGGCTTTTGGTTTTCCTGTCATGCTGATGATTTTTCCTGGGAATGATAATGAGGTGGTTTCCCGTTGCCTTCCTCATCGCAGTATTAAAACCGTTAAAACAGTCCTTGTCACGCTTTTAACTGTGTAACTTTCTGCCGTTTTCTTTCTATATCTAGAAATACGCCAAGCAATTACATTTAGTGCTACTGCTTCCTAACACTAATTTTCCCGCCATATCTGACCACCCTCACAATGTTTAGCCTGCAGGTCGGTGCAGTATCCAGGGTGTGGCACATGGAGCCATATGTGAGAGCTGACCGCCCTGCAAGGACCAATTGTTTCAGACCATCTCCAGTCTACGACTCTCGATGCGACCATCTCAAACAAGAGGGACTACTTCTACAGCGCAGCACAAGCCCAAATTGCTGCAGTTTATCTCAACACCCCGAAGGTTGAGAATTCTTAATGCTGAAAACACACACAAACAGAGTAGCAAAATGAGACTAGGCCCTTTACAGATAGATCAAAAACGGAAAGTGGGGTGGTAAAGGGTATCTATGGCAAAAATCTGAAAACTGTCATCTCAATTAGTCTAGGATAGGAAACAAAACCACATATCTTTCAAGTGGAATCATATGCCATTGAAAAGCTGCTATCAAAGCAGCGAGTGCAATTCATATAACACAACAAGTGAAACAATGCTTAGTTCTCAGGTTGCTGGTGCTATTCTGAAATCCCCAATTCTAATTACATGCGAATTAAAATAAAATAAAGTTCAATTGTTTTTACCTGTTGATGAGAGTTTCCTCCTTGACTTTATCATAATCACTTTTGTTAGCATCAGGCTGCAAAATAAGGCATCTGATTTGGTATTCGACGTCTGCGTACTCTTCTTCTAGCCTTTGCTGCCGACGTCTAAACATAAGGAATTTATATATTTTTTTGTTTTCTGCCTCCAATGTGGCATAAAATCACTTAAAAGTTGGGAGAGGATGAAAAATAAGAAATAGAGGCAATCATTTAAAATTACGAGGCCATCAAAAGGGCTAGGGAAAATTATAAAGGCAAAAATGCATGGACTGAAACATAGCATTTATAGTGTAGAAATTATCGTCCAATTTCACACAATTTATAATCAACTCATTATCAGAATTACCAAATTTGATGAAGATTATGCGAATCAAAAATTAATAGAGCATTATTTGATTTTTGAAATAATTATATTAATTTTATGTGAAATATTTATAATTATTTGATGCACCGCAAGCATTGTTCAGTTCCTACTTACAAGTACATAAGTTCCGCCTGTCTTCTGAACAACTCATTTTTCTCATTAACCAATTCGAAGAGCTGCAAAATTAAATCTTCTACATCAATAGGCACTGGGTCTTCTACTGCAATATCTCCTGGTCCCTCACATTTTTCTCTGATAATCTGCTCCAATCTAATACCCTGTTTTTCCAAACCCTGTTGTTGAATTTCGATAGTATCCAGCTCTCGTTTGATTTCCGATAACGGAAGAGTTTTCACGATTCGCTTTTCTGGTATAGGACGCGAAGGTGCTTGACCCTTTCTGCGCTTCCATCTACCAGCAGTACTTTTGTCAGTTGCCATGTTATTGTCTATTTCGATGGGAGGATCTGAAATATTAATTTATTATTATCTGTACAAGGTGTTTGTCTCTTGAATGTCACATATATGGTGATTTATCTCAGCTTTATCAAATGAGTTTGGTAGTTATAGGTACTTACTACATCAAATGATTGTTATTTACTTGAGCAATTAAGAAAAAGCTTTTTTGAAATTTCTACTCAAATTCCACGAATAATATTTATAGAGAGATGAAGATATGAGGTAGGAAGGGAAGGACATGACCAATGACCAGTCCACCAAAGCTGATTTAGCATTACCTCAAGGAATGTTCTGATTTAACAAAATGGCTGGGTGATCTAATTTCCTTGAAACTTAAATCTTTTATAAGAATCGCGAATTTCAACAGGTCCAAACGCTGTTGACCCAAAATTATTTTTTTTTAGACTTGAAGACGACAAATTAGTAGGCAAGCAGACATGGTGGATATTATCTGTATTGGCACTCAAATTTTATATTATATGTATAACTTGTTTTCCATAGGCCGTTTATTCTGTGTGTTGTAAAATCTGAATAAGTCCACTTACTTTGAATCTGGCTCTGTCGATTCCTATTAACCTCATCCTTAACATTTTTTTCTGCAGAAAAGGAAACCCTCTCTTTTATAACGGGTATTACTGGAGATACTTCACAAGACACTGTATATTTGGAATCATTATCCACATAGGGAGGTATAGGCGTTGAAGCTTTGGGTGGAGGTGGCGCACGTCTATTTTTTCTACTTCTTATTGTGCCGGATAAATTTGGAGATTCAGTCTAAGCTCAAAATTTTTATTAGAAGATACAAGCAAAAAATAAACTACTCACCAAACTTTGACTAGGACTTGCCGTCGAACTTCCAGGCATCGACAAAAATTCATTATTATGGAAAGGCACAGGAGGGCGTGGAGCGGGCTTTTTCTTTCTAGCGCTACCAACAGCACTTCCACTAGAAATTGAAGAATTGCTACCACCATGGCTGCCTCTGCTTGTTATTGATAGGGTGTCTCTTGGTTTTGGTTCTGGTCGAGTAGCTCTGAAAACATAATTAATAATAAAATATCTGAGCATGAGGTTGAAGATATATAAAAGCGGCAAGCAAAATTTCCACTTCTGTCAGAAAAATTTTACTTCTGTGGGAAAAAATGGTGTTTATTTTGGAAAATAATGATCTTCTGCTTGGGTATTTAATGTATGAATTTGTAGTAGTAGAAGCAATATTTATATAGCCCAGAAAAAATCCCTTGCCCTGGATTTCAACAAAATTTGCCAGAAGTTCTGAGGAAGGACCACGCAATATTTAAACGGAAATTGGTTACCCGTGATATTTGGATGAAATTTAAATATGTTATTGGGGATGCCGTAAGCAACATGGGCGCAACCTTTTATATATGACAGGTGAAGCGGGATCAGCTGTCAAATATTGGAATCTAATATTCAAAAGCAAGGTAACTATGGCAGATTTTGATGAAGTAAATAGGTCTGTTTCTGCAGAAATCACAAACCAGTCAGAACGAATTTCATTGGTTGAAAACAGTCAGAAAACTAGTCTCAACCAATGAAATTCGCTCTGTCAAAACCCTGCCAAACGACAGCAATCATATTTTTCAGTTCTCAATAGGTCTGTATCTGCAGGAATCACAAACCAGTCAGAGTGAATTTCATTGGTTGAAACTAGTTTTCTGACTGTTTATGACTGTTTTCAACCAATCAAACTCGCTCTGACAGGGTTGTGATTTCTGCAGAAACAGACCTAATATTTCATGAGGTGTCATTTGCCATTTTTAGCTTATGTAAATTCGGAGTTCAAAAATTGAAAAAAAAATTATAGAAACGTTAAAACCTGTCATTTATTTTAGTAGGAAAAAATATTCCCATCTGGTTCTTTTTTGTTTTAAGGTAGTTTATTGGTGATAAAATATTAAACAAAACTCATAGAGATGAAATTTTGGCACCTGTCAAATCTGAAACCTGCGTGTAAAGTTTTTTAATGCTTTATCATAAATAAGCATAACTTATATAATTTGGAACAGAACTAGATTTGAGTCTTTTTTTAATTAAAGCTATTGTCAGATTCTGACAGCTGGAAAAATTTGATGTCTATGAGCTTTGTTCAATGTTTTATCACCAATTAACAACCATAAAACGCTAGAGAACCAATTTGGAATCTTTTTCTCTACTAAAACAATTGACAGTTGTGTATTTTTTATGTTTTTTTTTTCAATTTTTGAACTCAGAATTTACATAAGTTAAAAATGTTAAATGACACATCATGAAATATTGAAAACTGAAAAATATAAATGCTGCCGTTTGGCAGGGTTATGACAGATGTCAAAATGGTTGACATTTTCCGATTTACCTTAGTCGACTCAGTAGAAATCGTTATTTACTTCATCAAAATCTGCAATAGTTACCTTGCTTTTGAATATTAGATTCTAGTGGTGCCGCGAGACGAGACTAGACGAGACTTAGGGTTGATCTGGTCTCGTCTCGACATCTCGAGACGAGACCGTGATTTAGTCTCGGTCTCGAGTACCAAAGTCTCGTCTCGTCTCGAGTGGTCTCGTCTGGTCTCGAGTTATACAGGGTGTCCAAAAAATAGCGTAAAAACTCTTCTCTGCGTGGTGGAGGACCCTACAAGGAACCCCAGAAAAATACTTTAAATAATCTAGTGGCATTCTTAAGAAAGTTATTTGCATTTTAATATTTATTAAAATTGGCAACACTGAAAATATCCCGTTGACAATATGTCAGAGAATTAAATTAAATACCCATATGTAACTACCTGAAGAGTTCGAAGGTGAATTTTCACATCTACCTCTTCATATTACCAAGAATAATGCTGGAGAAGGATTTTTTTAATTTAATTTTTTTTCTAGGGTTTCTCAAAAACTACGGGGAGAGTTTTTACGCTATTTTTCGGACACCCTGTATTTATGGTTTCTGTTTTTATATTATAACGGAAGTCCAAACTGCCACAATGAAAAAGCAATTAGTGAAAAATCACAGTAAAGTTGTAACCCTGATATTTAATTTACTGATTTCATACCCAAATAGCCCAGAATAGTCCAATAATAAAGCTATGAAAGAAAAATTGTATGTGTAATCTCGAGACTCGAGACTACACGAGACTCTCGCCGAGTCTGGTCTCGTCGGTCGAGACTTCACGAGACGAGACGAGACCAAAAGCCAGTCTCGTCTCGAAAAGTCGAGACGAGACGAGACGAGACCAGTCTCGAGTCTCGCGGCATCACTATTAGATTCCAAAATTTGACAGATGATACCGCCTCACCTGTCATATATACAAGGTTGCGCCCATGATAAAATAATGTTGCTTACGGCATACCCAATAACATATTTAAATTTCATCCAAATATCACGGGTAACCAATTTCCATTTAAATATTGCGGGGTCCTTTTGTATCCACTTATAACGGGTCTTCAAAAATAAAAAATTGGTAATCAAAGAGTACGCGCTGATTACGAAAACGTACGTTGCATTATTGCTTCTTTATTGGTCAGGATTTTTGACATGACATTTTGACAAAAAACTCAATGACAAAATTAAAGAAAAATATTGCTAAGACATACGTTTAAAAAATCATAGCCATCTTTGATATGTTTTTTTTTTCTTGAAGACCCGTTTATAACTACTGATAATAACGGATACGTTAACTTCCACCAGTTAATATGTCTGAGGCCTGGTTTATTCATCTTCAGATAATCTTACTGGTAACTATCTGCGAGATAAATTTACCGTTCTATAATTCTATTGGTCGGCCGATGGGATTACAGAATACGTTTTTATCCGTCACATTGCATTGCATAAAATTCCAAAAATTTGTTTTTTAAATTTTATCAAAAAAAAAAAAATGGGAATAAAAATTGATGCGTCAGTTGGAAGATTATTCTAAAAAATATGAAATAACATTATTTCATATTCGCATTACACTACTGCAGAGATTATCTCTTATTTTCTAGAAAATATTCAACTAGGTACGTATTCATCTTGTCCTGTTCATTTTTATCAGAGAATATGAATAATGAAGCCTGTGACTAATAATTTAATACTTTTGAATAATCAATAATTATTGTAGTTGCAAAATAATTATATTCATAGCTTTCTATATATGAAGTCAAGGTTCTTTATTAATTGATCCAGGCAAAATCAATAAACAGTGTCAGTGAAAATTGATTTGTCAGCATTTGTTTCATTGGAATAAATTGATTCTGATTTTGGTAACAAGATGTTTGACCACTTAAACCTATTAAGTTTTTTCCTCACCAAGTTACTAACCCCTAGCCCCTTAGGTCATCAGACCTTACATTGTGCGACTTTTTTTGAGAGTATGTAAGTGATGCTCAAGTGCTATATAGGATTGAGTGTGAAAAGAAGTGCATTATACTCTCAAAGTTGCTTGTGTCACAAGGGAAAGTCGCATAAATAACAAAACAAAACTTGAACAGATTATTTGTAAATTGATGTAACACTTTCAGAATATAGTTGGTTGATACAGGATGAATCATTTTAAATAAACCTGTATTGAATATCAATTACTTATCCTAATTAAAAATATGAGGCTATAACATCTCCTATAATTTAAACATTAGATATATTATATGAAGTAGTAAAAATAAAATATTGTTCCGAAATTGCCTTGATGTATCAACCCATTTCTATTTTCCAATTTTGGTTCCCAAAAATTAAATCATTAATAAACTCATTAATATCTGGGTTTCAGTGTTATATTTATTGGTGTTAATGAAGATATTTGAATTGTGAAAGCTGTGTGTCTAATAAAAGTTGTCATTCGTTTTGGAGAGTGTTTAATAGACCCACGGGCTACGTGACAATATTAATTCGAGCACATTAAACTAACCCAATCTACCCAATAGAGTTGACGTTTTTAAGCAGTAAGTTTCTATATAATTATTATCTACCTACAATTCAGAATAATACGCTGAATCTTTGCTGCTGGTTACAGAAACAGCATCATTAACAGCTGGTTCTGGCCTGGCAAGTGCTGAAGTTGATGACGATCTCGTGACGCGGTATTTCAACATGTTTTATTCACCAACATTAGTGTCAGAATAAGAAAAGAAGCTACAGCTGCGTTGCTGGTCAATATAATATATTGTGCAAAATGTTGTATTCAACAGCACTTTCTACACAAGTAGGAAGTTTGGTGACTAGCCATAAGCGAGTAACACAAAACCACAATTGGAAAAACTTATTATATAGAAGTTGCACTAAACTATGGTCACATATAATCTCAGTTTTCCCTTAATATGCAACTTCCCAATTTCCTTCCTATGATTTTACTCTGCAAAATTTTTTCTTAGTTGGGTGCAATGTTTTGCATATTTTTATTGTTGTATATCTTTTATCAGTTCCAATAGCAGCCGTAGACTTTTTTTTTCAATTTTAATAATGGAAAAGCATAAAAAAAATAATTCAAACATATGCATGGGCATATTCTAACACTCATCAATATACAAATCACTGCTTCAAACTACATATTCACAAGAGTTCTCAGCAAGACGCGAGCTTGTTCATTAAAAAAAAATCGCCCATAACAATTTCACGCGTTCAGCTCACGCACTTTTTTTCCTAGTCGTACCCCGCACGTACTACTAGCACTTTAGGGTACAAGACAAGAATAGGATATGCACCATCGTACCCGTCAAGCATAAAAATGAGTTCAGTGACACGGACAATTAAAATAAATGAACGGTACTAAGGGCATCTTACTTGCACGTTTCGAGTTTCAGGTACTACTGTTTTATGCAAATAAAGCGGCGGTTTCGTTACTAATGTGTATATTTCCACTTCGGACGGCTATTAGACGACATTAGGTAGGTACCGTTTTTTCAGCTGCAATTCAAGTTTAATTAGTGCGGCGGCAAAGGAAAATTTGTGTTATAACTACAAGTGACATTAAATACTACCTTGGTCAAGTTGAAAACAGAAAAAAATATATAAAAGCAGCAAAAACAACGATTTCAAGAATTCAAATATACGTAAGATTTAGGTTGTGAAGGCTCTAGATGGCTGAAGATGAATTCGAGTAGACAAAGATCAGGAGACCTAGATATGTTTATTGTATAGCCCCTTTTTCAAAGTAGATACCCATCGATAATATCCTTCCCATTCAGATAAATTCCTTTCTTGAGATAAATCTCCCTAAATCAAAAGTCAATCAATTAATCTGATCAAGTCTGATCAATTGTTGTGTTTGGTCACCCCATTACCAGGGATAAGGATAAGATTGAGCGAGTTCAGAATAAGTTCATAAGATATGCCAGGGGGGGTTTATTTGAAATGTGCAATTCAAATTCGTCGCACTAAGTCGCAATTTTTGCCGGTATTTCAGTGCTAAAAATTGCGACTTAGTGGGACGAATTAGAATTGCACATTTCAAATAAACCCCCCCAGGTATAAATTAGGTATTAGCAGAGAGAATTTCACGTACGATTACATTAAAGATTTGTTAAAAATCAATAATATAGATTGTAATGATCTTTTGGCGCTGATAACCATTTATGTCCTTCTCAAGACGGTTGTTGATACATTCAAACTACAATGTCATCGAACAAATTATGGACAGTATTCTTCACTAAATAGAATGCTTATGAATGCTAACGATCTGGAAGTGGATGTATTCAGCACCTCACTTCAATGTGTCTTTTACTCTTATTAATTTTTGTTTCTTGATATTTTTGATTTATCATTTGTAAAATTGGGTTATACCCGTTGAATGAATAAATGAAATGAAAATGAAAAAAGTCCTCCGTAATTACCTCGCGATCAGGGATGTTGACAGCATAGGTACCTACCAACTAGGTACCTACTTATCATCACAGAGCATCGAAACAACTTTTTCATAACGCGACCGCGGACTAAAACTTAAGTGTGGGCTTCTTTTTTGCTTCAGTCAGTGTCGCGAACTAATTAATGTTTTGCAAGACTGAAACCAGTAGTAAGCGTGGGAACCCTGTATGCTTACTAATAATTGTTAATTGCTTCGATTTATTTAATTTATATTTTTCATCGGGTTGGCAATGGACACCTAATTTTGTCCCTATATAAAACTGGCTTAAGTTGAGTGATTTTCATACGATTATGGCTGTGGTGAATGAGATATCGTTTTCTCTTACGCGGTGTTTTTTTTTCTTTAATGGACGATTAACCTTAATGGCAAACATCAGAATACTGACATTAAATTTATAGCTATAGTTATTTATACAAGCGTTTTTTTTAAATCTAAAAACACTTTTCGATTCGCCAACTTTAATTGGCTGGCCAAGTTCTAGATATATAAAGCAGCAAATATTTGGACAGACAAATATGCGTTAAAATACCCTCCTGGACATAAAAAACCGGACAAACAAAATTTTGTTAAATTTCAATCCTAAATAATTTTTTCAATTTTGCATCGAAATTGATCAATTTTTGTCAAATGGTAGGCGCGTTTATCTTGATCATTATTTAATATTGTGTTTGCAAAAAGTTCGAATGGATTTGGTGTTATACAGGGTGGAACCATAAGTTGCATTTGGTCCCAAACTTCTGAACACTCTATGGAATAATTCACCGTCACAATCATGCGTATTTGCAGGACATTCTTAAGCGTTATCATTCCTTTTGCTCCATTTCTTGGTGAACATTTTTCTCTGATGCACGACAATGCCAGACCTAATGTCGCAAGAGTTGTCAGTGATTATCTCGATGAAGCAGGGATTCAACGATTGGACTGGCCTCCACGTAGCTCTGATCTGAACCCGATTGAGCATGTGTGGGACCTGTTAGGGAGGCTAATTCGCAATTGACAACCGGAAACCATTCCAGATCTTCGAAGAGCTCTTCTAGAGGAGTGGAAGAACATTCCGCAAAGGGCTATTGCCAATTGTATTGAGAGCTTAACACGTCGCATGGCAGCAGTTACTAGACTACATGGAGGTAATACCAAATATTAGTGTTTGTTTATTTGTGAAAGTTATCTGTAATGTTTTTAATTTTTGTTATTGGTATAAATTGCATTGTTTCTCTAAAAACTTGTGCTTCCTTCGAGATTGAAGATATTGATATGAATTGAAAAAAGACATGTTAAGAAATGATAACGCTTAAGAATGTCCTGCAAATATGCATGATTGTGTCGGTGAATTATTCCACAGAGTGTTCAGAAGTTTGGGACCAAATGCAACTTATGGTTCCACCCTGTATAAGACCAAATCCATTCGAACTTTTTGCAAACACAATATTAAATAATGATCAAGATAAACGCGCCTACCATTTGACAAAAAATGATCAATTTCGATGCAAAGTTGAAAAAATTATTTAGGATTGAAATTTAACAACATTTTGTTTGTCCGGTTTTTTATGTCCAGGAGTGTATAAAAAATTTAGTCTTCTTTCTCAGAACACATAAGATTCATGAGTGAGCTCTTTAAGAATCAGCAGTCTTATTTGCGCCCTGTGAATGTATTTTTTTTTCAAGTTTTAAGCTTGGTGTTATTAAATTATACATAAACTTACTTGGTTCTAGGAACTGGAATAGGAACCGGTCTCACTGGCTGTTCTAATTCTTCATCCTCGTCATCTTCGAATGGATTATAACTCTTGACGCGTTTCATATCTTCTACGCGAGGCGATATTTTCTTTTTGATCATGATTTCTTGCTCTTCTCTACGCGCATCCTCTTCAAAAGGATTGTAGCTTACATCTTCATCATTTTCATCGTCCCCAAAGGGATTGATACTTACACGTTTCACATCGTACACTTTATCGTAGAACCCTGGAGTGTCTGGAGTACTTAGTAGGCTGTCTTCCAAGGTAATTGCAATTTTTTTCTTTCTAGTTCTGGGAGGTGGAAGTTGGTTGGTGGAAATTGCAAGATTTTCTTCATCAGTTGCTCCAAGTGGCTTTGGAGGAGTAGACTCGGATTGACTATTGTCGTCGAATGGATCTAGATCATCTGGATATTCAATATCAAATTCAGATTTATGGATTGCACTATCATTATTATATACTAAACCATTTGGTGCTTTTATTTGTGCGTCAGAATCATTAACTTCACTATTTACATGGATATCTTCATTACGAATAACTTCTGTAATATCTTCATTCGCCTGAGATGCAGCTGAATCTTCATCACATACATTAACTTCATGTATGTGTTTTTCTGTTACAGTTCCATTTTCATTTGAAGTATCCACATTAGTATTATCTTTCGAAAACCCTACACATTCCAAGGATTGCTCAATGGATTCATTCACATAACTATCCTCTGCTAGATAATCGTAAGCAGTGTGATATCCACGCTTGTGCATTGGTCCTTCATCTGAAGACATTGTTTTTAGAGATATTTCACTATCCGCCGTCAAAAAACTGTCTTCTGAGACTGCCAATAATGGCAATCCAGGACTGCCTTCTTGTAGCGAATCATTAATTGTTAGTATATCTTCTTTTATTTTTGTTTCCTGGCTATTATCACATGTCTCAATAACAATATCCGAGACATTATCATTGTGCTGATCATTTGCTGTTTCAGATGAAATATCTCCTTCATGGATTACTTTGAAATGTTGGTTAGTTTCTATATCATCTTTCATGCTGTGAGTGGTTTCTACTTCTTCACTACTATCTAAAATTTCAATATAGCTAGTTCCAATATCGTGTTTTTCGCTATGGGTCGTCTCTGCCTCTTGACTACTATCCAAAATTTCAATACAGCTAGTGTTTATAGCTTCAATCTTGCATTCAGGCATTTTTACATGTTGGCTACTCTCTGAAAGCTCAATATGGCTACTGTCTAAATTTTCTGTACTGCTATAAATTATTGCTTCTTTCTGGCTGTAATCCAGATTTTTGTCAACAATATCGCTATACTTCTCACTTGTCTTTTCAAGTAAAACATCTGCTTCAGACTTTAATTTATCTATATTATTGTTAGTTTCATTTCCACTAAAATCTAGGTTACATTCTTTAGTAGTATAATCTGTCTTTTCATCTACTGTTACGTTTTCATCGTTTTGTTTATCATTGCTGTGCACATTATAACTACTGCTACTCTTTCTGCTAATATTGTCGAAGTCTTCTAAATCATCTATTGCTACTACGGTGGCCTTCTTTTTAACCGAACTGAAAGGCACTGAGTTATGACTACTGGAAAAACTATGTATATCAGACTTATTAATATTATCTTCATTATTTTCGAATAACTTCATTCTAGCCCTAACGCTCACGCGATTTGAGCTAAACGCATTATCTTTGGTAACAAAGTGATCGTCCGTCTGTTCAGTACTAACACTATCACTAACTTTATGCATGTCTTTTTTATCACTATCCGTTATACTTATATATTCGGGCTCAGCTAGGAGTGGTGGTTTGGTGTTTGTGGTATCCTCGCCTAGAAATTGGGTGTTTATTAGAGGTGGTGGTTTGCTCTTGGGTAACTCCGCTGGTATATCATCGCTGCCCGTGTCACTGGAACTTTCCATTTGACTATGGAAGAAATGAGATCTTGCCTTAGAGAATTCTGTGCATTCTGTTTCAGTGAGTGTAGAACTTTTTCTAAGATCCCTATCTAATGAAAATTCTAGTGCGGTCTCGAAGTGAGTGCTATATGCGTCTGGAGTTTCCGAGTGTGTGTGTAGGCTAGCAGATTTTTCTTCATCACTCAGAGACTTACGAAGTAGCATTTCTGATGGAACTTTTTTTGATATTTGTTTTTCTTCATCGGGACAGATTTCGCAACAGAATTCACCATTCTCTGTTTCGTAATAATTGGCAAGAGTGAGTTGGGAGTTACACCGAGCACATCGGAAGCATGTACGGTGATACAGAAGTTTTCCTACATTAAGACGTTCGGCTATGAATACTGGAAAACCACATTTGGCGCACGGCTGCTTCCTAGCTTTACCCAGTGTTATTTGTACCTAAAAAAATTTTTTTTGTTAATTATGTTTATAAACAGATATAATATGTTTGTTATAAGCTGAACTACAAATGAAAATTGTTAGTAAGTACATGAATTGGCCAACATATGCAGCGAAAAGCATGAGGGATCGGTCGGAGACAAAAATGATAAAAAGGTGTTTTACCTTCAGCAAAATATTTCGGGTTTGTACTGTCCCATAATGTCCAAGCTCTCTTCCTATGAAAATAAACAGTGTGGGTTAACAAAAAAAGCTTAAGCTTTACGAATAAGCGTAAGCGGCAGATATTTTTGTGCAATGTCCTGCGCACGCGGATTCATAATCTTCACCAATTGTATTGTAAATTTTTCAAAACATATAAATAGTTTTTAGTCAATATTTTCATCGTCCTAAATGTAAAAAATAATAATAATTACTACCGACAGTCGTACTTAAAAAAAATTACCTCTTAGCTACAGTATTTCATGCCTGAACCCTAAATTATAATAAGGCAAGGCTTGTCGTAACTGGTCGCTCTTTTTTCGACAACTAGTTTTCTCGCTAGTTCTCCACAAAAACATTATTAGTCAGACAATATTTAACTTCAAAACTAAAATTTTAATTCATTTTTAAAAACCCTCAATACTTAATATTTTCAAATTTTTCTCAAAATAATCAAATATCTAAGTCATAGCTATCATATAACATGTAACAATCCGAAAGCATTTCATAAAAGGGCAGATTTGGGATCCTAGAGTTGGTCTGAGATCACTTGCAATGATCGACAATCGCCTTTGTGATCTGTGATATCGCATCACTACAATTATTATAAAAAAAATATTGTTTCCTTGAAACACAAACAGGACCTATACTTCGATACCTACTTGTTTTAAAAATAGAATTGATATGTCAATATCTTGAAAAACTGCAACTATATATGAGAATGGGTTTCTAACGGACACAAGTAGAGAGTATGAGTCGAGTTCAAATCACTTGAAAAAGTTCAAATCAAATGCCTCTACAAGTTCACACTGCTTTTAAGCTTGCTGTAGATGGAAAAATTACATTATTGCAGTAAATAACTAAGCACCTGAGTATTTATTAAGTGAAGCATATTAAGCACTTGCGAATATGCATCGCAATAATAGCAAAATGCTGGCGATCAACTACGCATACCCGGCACTAGCGAGAGTCTGCACTAAAACAAAAGTAAAATTTTCTTTTTTTTCCATTTAAGAACATGTAAAACTTTTTTTTTCGTTTCATTTTTTAAAGAAGCTTTAATACCAAAGTCTAATACTATTTGAAGGTCGTAGAAAACGAATCTGCAGTGACCTTTTTTTAAACAAAAAAATTGGGTAAGTAAATTGAAATTTTAAATGTTAATTAATTGCAGCAAATCGATGGGACCTTGAAGACCGCAGATTTGTTTTCATGCCCTTAAATAATGAATATCTAGTGAGGGCTGCAAACATTTAATAATAATACATAAAATGAATTTCATGGTATTCAAAAAATATAAGAAATTGATCATTACCTATCTTGATATTTTTGATTTATTTTACAGCAAAGTTAACTGAGAATTTCCCAAAATTGATTAAAGTTGAGAGACTGGTAAACATGTTTAAATAAAAAGGGCCGTAGAAATTTAAACCCGACCACAACTTCCTTATTTTATCATTAATACTAGTAGGTAATAATACGTGCTCATACAATAGAAATTTTAGAGTTCGAAATAACCTCAAACAAAGCATAACAGTATCGATTCTCTTACAGCTAGTCATATTCTTCTAGCTGATTATTCGGCTCCACGTTTTCTCCTAATAAATAATGTATAATCGTAAACCCACATTAGCCGTAACGATTATGAACCTCCAAAAGGCAGAAAAGAGAAGAGACCCCATCTGGCGTAAAGTGTGTAAAGGTGGTTTTCACTTCGTTGAAAATGCATTGTTTATGTTGTTTAATGGCCGCCCACATTGGACCCTAAGTAGCCGAACAGTTGGGATAACAAACTAAACCAAATATGTAACAATTTTTTGTTACTTTGCCTATCTAATAAATAAATAAATAAATATAAGCACAATAACTAACTTTTAATCAACTTAGCTTCCACCACTTTTTGGTAGAACCCAATTAAAATACTATTAACGAAATCTTGATCTTTACTAATTTAGAAAATATAATGCAAATATAATTAAATATAAACAATAACAAAATGCAATTACTACTACATTCAAACAATAACGTGCCTAATAACATTACGGTACTGTTCAATTACACAGATTATTAAGTATTACGCTAGAATTTACAATAGCAAAAAATATACACAACAAAATAATAATTAAAATAAATAGTAAATTACCCACACTGTTCATTGTTTTATGACTCATAGCTCAGTTTTAAAGGTGAAAAAACCGGTGGAAGAAATTGGATATTATGGTCCTTCTTGTAAGAGAACAATGAATACATTTAAAAGATAATTTTTGCTTTTTTATGATGAAGTGAAAACTATTTCATATCTCACAAAAATAAATTGAAATGAAGTTCCTCACTTTTTATATTAAGGCTATTCTTTTTATATTTTATAATAGCAAAATACATAGGTTTTAGGTAAATTCACAACCCTGTCAAATTTTTTCTAACGCATAAAACATGCTTGGAGGAAAAGTGAAAGGAGACGGGAAAAGTTTGAGTACCAAACCAATGAAACAGCCATTATTAGCACAGAGTTATTTGGATGATCAAAAAAGAAATAGGTACACTTGCTATAATCAGGTTCCAAGTAGAAGCAAAAATTAGAAACAATTACGATGCGATGAGGCATGGGCTTCGTCTTTGTGTCTCACTCTCAAGTTGTCCTTTGCCTCATCGCCTTTGATAACGCCTACTTTGGTTGTGGACAAAATGTCAGAATAAACATACTAAAATCAATTTCAATATACTATGTATCTCAAGAATCTTGAGTTTAAACAAGAGTTGATCTGACACCTGAATATATTCGAGGAAGTAGGTATATAGGTATATCCAGACCAGGGATTTTTTTTCGTTGAATTATTTGTGATTTTCCCTATACCATAATCAATTTTCCTGGAAAGTGGATATTGACCGACTGTCCCTAACCATTTAGTACTGCCGTTATTGCAAAATTATTATCATAACAGAAATGTACAGGGTTATTGGTTATAAATGTCACCCCCTCTATCTTTTTTATTTGACATTTCCAAAAGAAGTGTCCCAAATAAGTTTTATGATTGAAATATTTTTTTCAACTCACTTTAACATATACAGTATAAGAAAAGCTGGTCGTTGTCCAACTTTTTAATTTTAAATGGAATACCCTGTAAATTGACGAATATTCGGATTTTACGTAAAATTCTGAGCAGATTTCATGTCATAGTAGGTCTGTTTCTGCAGAAATCACAAACCAGTCAGAGCGAATTTCATTGGTTGAAACTAGTTTTCTGACTGTTTTCAACCAATGAAATTCGCTCTGACTGGTTTGTGATTTCTGCAGAAACAAACCTATTATCAAACCCTATACCTAAGTTCAACTGTTTTGGAAATATTGACAGGTGAATATTGACTTTTTTGCTCGATTTGACAGGCTGTGAAACCTAAACGGCTAACTTTTGAGCAAAACCGCTCTCACATTTATACTTAGATTTTCATAAGCTATCATCATATCAGAATAAAAAACAACAAATTTTCACAGTACTCAAACTAAACAGTGTCTTATATATGACAGTGTTAAAATGTACAACAAACTCCCCAATTACTGCAAACTTAGTGAAGATTATGGGAGGTTTCGGAGATCGGTGAAAGAAATATTTCTTATGTTGACTGTGAAGGCCTATTATGATACTGATGAGTTTTTTAGTGACACATTCTAGTCAGAATGCAAGTACATACCTGCTCTGCGTTTCAGGTTTTTTGTATTTTGTTATTATGTATATATGTACCAACAACTTGGAAATTGTATATAGGGTGTCCCAGGGAAAACAGTCCACCCCGATTTATTGGATTTGGGATGAGAATCTGGACAAACGCTCGGACACGTCCACGTTTGATTTGAGGGAAAACTATTCTCATGTTTTTTTCATCCCCGTAGCTTCAACCCCCTAGCTAGGGGGAGCACAACCCCCCAAATTTGAATAGGGAATAGGGGTCGTGTCATACCTCTTTTTAAAGGTCTCATCGATTTCTTTGTGGCCCTAGAATTTCATCTTATTATTTTCATCCGTAACGAAATGACAGCTTCTCAAAATCTTGGAAATAGACTATTGTTTTAGTAGGAGTAAAAGCGGTACTTACCTCCCTTAATAAAAATGCTAGTAAAAATACCTACAATTTACAATTCTCATGTGCACCCCATTAATAATAATAATAATAAAAAACTTCAATTTCAAGTATTTTCATGAAGGAAGGTAACTATCGCTTTTACTCCCACTAAAACTAATAGTCTATTTCCAAAATTTTGACAAGGTGTCATTTCGTTACGGATGAAAATAATGAGAAGAAATTCTAGGGCCATTAAGAACTCGATGAGACCTTTAAAAAGAGTCATGACACGACCCCTATTCCCTATTCAAATTTGGGGGGTTGTTCTCCCCCTAGCTAGGGGGTTGAAGCTACGGGGATGGAAAAAACTGAAAAATAGTTCCCCCTCAAATCAAAAATTGACGTGTCCGAGCGTTTTTCCAGATTCTCATCCCAAATCCAATAAATCGGGGTGGACTGTTTTCCCTGGGACACCCTGTATATTTAATATTTAACATCTTAACACGAAAATTATGTCTTCTATTGTGTTATTGTTGACTATATTGTATTTATTTGTTTTTTGTATTATGACTATCACCAAAAAATTTTAACTAAACTAAGCCGCAGATGAAGTGGGACACCCAAAAAATTGCCTAATTTTTCATGTTATTTAATGTTAACTTTTGAACAGACCTGTCAACGGTACTGCTGCTCACCGACACGGTGGAGGATCTCAAAAAGGAACAAATCCTCGTCAGGATGGACTAGTAGTACGTACTGCAATTGAAAATAGAGTTTGGACTGTCAAGAGAATCCTAACGCATCTGCAGTTGAATGTTTCAGCAGACACCATTAGAAGGCACCTATGACCAGGGATTAAATTCTCCCGTCGGGCAAAGTGCCCACTTTCTACAAACATTCACTAGGGGAACAGAAAAAGATGAGCCCAGGAACGTCTGAATTGGGATTTTAGGTGGAGAGACTGTCTTTGATGTATGCCGTTGTAACCTCTACAATTCTGATGGCCGATTGCTAACCTAGCGGAGATGGGGAGAACGTTTTTTAGAAAATAACATGCTTCCCCAAGTTGCATTTGGCGGTAGAGGATTGACAGTTTGGGTCGGTATTTAACTGATCGGAAGGACAGAACTCGTCGTATCGTAGTATTTCGGGGCAATGTTAACGGCCAAGTGTCCCTGGATAAATGTCAGATTCCGCAAGTTTTTCGGCATGCTCGAAATTATGGCGGGGATTTTGTTCTTGTAGACGATAATGCTTGGCCTCATCCATCGAGCATTATTAGTGAACAGTGAACCGGTATCTGCAAGGGCATAAGTTCAATCGTACCGAATTGCCTCCTAGATCCTCAGACATGAATCCAATTGAGCACGTTTGGAGCTGAATGAAGTTAGAGCTTACCCGGGGAGAACGTAAGCCAGAAACTCTAGACGATCTCGGGGAAATGATTCTGGAGCTTTGGGAGTCAGTTACTGTAGAGCCAATTAACCGAATAATTTCGAGCATGGCGGTGTCACGCAGTTATTCAGGCTAGAGGAGGACCAAAATGACATCATATCAGAGTTATTTATAACACCTTTTACACCCATATGCACCGTACGGACTTGGGAGTTTAATCTCACTTAGTTCGAAAACTTCCATATGAAAGAGAAGTCCTAACCTGGTTTCAGCAACTAATCTGGATTAAGTCCTTATGGTGCATTTGGGAGTTAAATTTTAAAGCTTAACAAAACTTAAAAATTTCAGATAAAATCGATTTTTTTTATTTTAATTTCATAAACCCCGTTTTGCACGCCACTGGTGTTAACTATTTTCTTTACAAGTCATTCCATGATGCAATTTAAACGGAATCTGTTATTGTTCAATTAAAGAATCGTTAATTTCAAAGAGAAAAACGAAATACCATAAAATGGCTATATTTCCATAGCAACGCGATGTATCGAAAATATGGCAAAGACGTCCCGAGGTGTTGACCTAGTGATCCAGTCACCATCAGAAAGAACTTTATTGGACCCTCCATCTTTCCCATATTCTTCGCCAAAAAATGGAAATTTTTCGTCACCTTACATTCACACCTGGTATAACGAGAAGGAATTTTTAAAAAAAATGTACGACGACACTGACGTATAGTCAAAATTAGGCAATTTTTCGGGTGTCCCACTTCATCTGCCGCTTAGTTTATTTTAGGTATTTTATAAATCGTATTTCAATTATTTTATAAATTGTATACAATTACCCTAGTACAAGTTAGGCATTTGACATTTAATTGAAATATTAACCTTTTAATATTTTTGCTAGTGCTTTGTCTATAAAAATCGTGTATTTTTTGACAATAAAGCCAATTGAATTGAATGAATTGAATTAAATTTGACTTGACCAACTTTGAATTTAACTGGAGATTAGATTTAATTGATATTTTCAATCATGGATTAAATTCAAAGTTGGTGTCAAAGTCATTAGTGTCAAATGATAGTTTACAAAATTCCAAGACAAAAATGTCAGATCGGTTTTACAGCTGTCAAAGTTGCAAAAAAGTCAATTTTCAACTGTCGATATTTCCAAAACAGTTGAACCTAGGTATGGGGTATATCACAATATGAAATCTGCCCAGAGTTTTACGTAGAATCTGAATATTCAATAATTTACAGGGTATTCCATTTAAAATAAAAAAGTTGAACCACGACCAGCTTTTCTGAAACACCCTGTATACCTATGCAAAAATGAGTTAAAAAAGAAAAAAATCAACCTTAAAACTTTTACTTGGGACACTTCTTTCTAAAAAGTCAAATAAAAAAGGTAGGTGTACCTACTTTCACAACACACCAATTAAAACAAGTCAATTGATGAAAGCAAAGGCACTAGTATAACAACCTAATTAAAATCACAAAGTTAGGAAAGAATAAATAGGCGTGGGAAAACATGTATGTGGTAAATCAATTTACATCAACTCAAAATGACTCTCAAGTGAAATGGGGTGAAAACCGTTTGGTCAAGTGTGTACCAAACGTCCTACAGTGTTTTGTAAATATTTCTGCTTATTATTCAAAACTAAAAGACAGTCGATTAGTCGATAATAGATGCCTTCGCCTCAGAAAATTATAGACTATACCGTTAAAAAATGCATGAATAATAAAATTGTTTTTTTAGAATTTTGATATAACTGAATATTGTAAGCAACGTTACAGTTATTAATCAGTCCACATGAGATAATAAAAATATAAGTAAATAAGTATCTCTCTAATTCACTTACTCGGATATCATTATGCAAATCAAACGTAACTGTACTCCAACTTACAAACTAAACCTCACGATATCTTAAGTAGAAAACCGATTCGCAAGACATTCCGCATCAGTTTGGTTATAAATAGCAATTTGTAGGACTTCATAATTCCATAAGATTGAATTACAGACCCATCAAGGCCTTAATTACCAAGACATCGCGAGTAAGCTCGAGCTACATGTTTATTCGATCTTTGTCGTATGACTGATGGGGCAAATGATGGCTTTTATGAGCTGATTAAATGCCTCCGGGCTAATTTGAAATGTTTTGATTATGTTGTCAACTTATCTGCATGTTTATTATCGAGACCCTTGTAAAGGCAAACAGAAATTAATAATAGTTTAACGGGTGGTCGAAATGCACCTGGATGATTGTTTTTATCATTCACGTGCACGTTTCAACAATAAATCATAAGTGGAAAAATACGAAAGACTGATTTGGCCGATACTTGATGGAAAGGAAATCCATTACATTTTGAAAGGAAACAAAAAAGTTTCCGTACCATATTATATCATGTCATAAAAATAAAATTATGAATATCTAGAAACTTTTCCATTCAAACTTTTTGGATAGGGTCTCTCGTGACATTTCTCGAATACTGTGAAGGTTTTCTGGGAATAAGGTTGAGAAATAGAAATGTCTGAAGTTTTTTCGGAATTTATTTGGTATTCCATCATCAGAAAAATCAAATGAACAAAAATGTAAAAAAGCAGTCATTACATTCTAGCAGTCGTTTATTCTGTGTTACGAGTAGAAGTAAGTTCACTCGCTCATTTCAAAAAAAAAAAAATCAGTCGGCATAATTTCAATAAAGATTGAAAAAATTGAAGAAAATACATTTATTTATTGTAAGTAAGTTTGTTTGGATCCCATTCAAACTCAAAGGCCATTACGAGAGAACATCTTTAATATTTTGTAGCCTAAGTAATTACTAACATAATAATAAAAGTGTGATAAGTTTTACATTAAAAATAGAACTTCTAATGTGTCAGTCAAGCAATAACAAAACTGAAGCATCAAGCATTCCAATCCTCAAAACATAAAGCCCCATGCATAGTCAGACGGTAGGTAAACATTGATATATCTACACACACACATACAACCAACAAAAATAACCAAAACCTACCCCATACAATGAAATCATTAATTTTTTTGAGGTAATATAAATATTAACATGACATAATAGTTTATCCGACTTAATATGTTTTATGAAATAAAAAAAAAACAAAAAAAATATGGGTTGGTCATGATAAAACATAAAAACGACACGACACATTGCACAAAAATAAACCACCACTTCTAAACAATCAAGTAAACAATATAAAAAAAGCAGAACGAGACTCGTAAAATGAAGTGCTGTTTGGAATTGCCTACTCACTAAGAAATTTGGTGAAATTACCATAATATCACGTGAGTTTGAAGTAGGAACTTCATTTTACGAGCCCTTTAGATGAAAAAATTACCTTTGATGGAGGGCTTGTGGACGCTGGTGACACTATCCCATGATCAGGAGACGATTGCGGTCTCTTTGGGGCTATCCGAGCTCCAGATTTTCCTACAACAAATAAATAATAGGCCCGAATAAATCAATTTGTTTGGAAAATTTATTTATATTTATACACCATGCATTTTGAGGATTTGATCACATTTGTTTTTTTGGGTATTGGCCCGTTAATATGCTAATCATTCCAGTTCTTCTAAAAATTAGTTTTTTTCAGGGTTTTTGCAGCGGAATCTAAATTGTCAAGAAGCCTGTTTCTGCATCAGGCATAACAAACCAGCGTGATGTTATTTATTGGCGAAGAGTAGTTGTAATTCCGTAAAAATAGGCTTCTGGCAAAGCTCCCAACTTACTCCTAATAGACTCTACAAACTTCCACATACTCTCTTATCTAATTCTCACATTTAGAACCAATACACACCAGGAACATCTAATTTATGTTCGCATCGAAAAGGTTTAAACAAACTAAAAAATTAACATTACAGTTGTTGGGAATCGATTATAATGATGGCACATTGAACGTTGCGTCACGTGGAGCCAATTCGATTGTTGGCGCTAAGGTTGACCACTGTTTAACAATAGCGCACCAAAACGTAGACCACATAGGCGGAATTGATGTTCCTGTTGCTAAATGGAATAATTGTGTTGTTTATCGGAATTACATAACGAATACTGTTGAGTTTGTAAGTGAAAAGTCGCATTTTTCCTGGCTGATCCAAATTAGCTTTTATGGCTCTTTCCCTTTGCATTAGGACATCGCAGCAAAATGCGACTTCAGCAATGCACATTTTCAAAAATATTTCGGAATGAATGAGAAACAGTTGTTTAAAATTACTCGCCTCAATATCCCAGCAATCAAGTCGCAGGATAGGAATTCAAAACAAATCGAACCGGACGGTATAATGGCATAATAAAATATTGCTCCGGATAAGATTTCTATTGTTTTAGTCACGTAGCCGGTAATAAAAATGCTGTAAAATCTGTAGACAATTTCAATAAACATTAAAGCATAGCATTCTTGTGCATTTTATTGCCAAAGCTTAAACCGTGTAAAATTGTAAAATAATAACGATTGTGCCTTTATATTATCAGAAAGAAAGAAATGATGAAAATAGAAATAGGAAAACTATTTTCCTTGCTCGAGGTGGCTTTGTTTGTGATTGCATAGAAAAACTATTGGAGGGAAGTCTGGACAAGAGGAAGCAACTTAATACACCTTAAGCATAAAAAAGAAGGAATAAAAAAGGTGAAAATTACCCTATGTATGGCAATTATTCAAATCGTGAAAATTTAAGGAATATGCGACGATCAATACCAAAGACCAAACCAAAATAATTTAATGCAGCGTATTTTATTAAATTTACAACAGCGATTTTCACATGTCGAAGCGGAAACTTGTGGCAGTTAAAACGGCATACATGGGTCTGATAATTAGCGCTTTGACTTTGACCTTTATAATTTATATTTTATTCCTTATAGCCTGCTTAAACTAAATGCAAAATGTCAACTATACTAGGACATAAATTTGAAATACATTCCCGCAGCTTCAATTATATGGTATTGGAGAAAAAAATAATCAAAAATAATTTCTACGTCATCCTTTTTTTGCTATGGGTTCTTGTGATGTCTGCTTCTTGCTTTACTAGTATTTGTGTTTCAGACATTTGGTGTAATTGGGATACAGGGACGTACTAACAAGGCATGTGCTTTCGATGGGTTTCCATTGAGCTATTTTTGAGTAAATTTCAAAAGGAACAAATATCCACTAAGTCATTATTAGAGTGGTTAAATATGTTTGCCCCTTAAAGCTGCAAAGCACAAGTCCTAACCGTCACAACAGATACACTTCCCAAGTTCGAGAAGCGCCAGGAGAGAGCTCTAACTATATCAAGATCTCCAATATTCAATGTTCCAGAGAATAACGACCTCGAGAAAGTTAAGTCGGTGCTTGGTCTGTGGTCTGACAACATTCCCGAAGTCCGAACATCATCAAAGAACGCTCAAAGAAAAAAATATTTCCATGAACCTAGACTGAGCTCAAGAGCCTCAGAGAAATTGCCGAAAAATGGTGGCATAGCAGAAAGCAGACACCGCATCCTTAGATTATACTGAAAAAAAAAATAAATAGATTCTGGGCCTCGCATTCATAGTCACAAACAGCTAGAAGTTTTTTTTACCAAAATTTGAGAGACGTGACTGCCAATGATTATCCGATCATAGTCGTTAATGAAACCTCATCATCCAGTTACTTTGGTGTATTGGAACTTGGCAACACACAAGTACTGCCTCTATATAGGGGAGGTGAGGGGCTTATAACTGTTCTTAGGGTATCCATCACAATATCACAATGCTAAATTCAAGCAATGGCATTGAACACTTGTTTTCGAAAATAGGTTTGTGTTTTAGAATAATTGTAATATTGAGTTGTGTGTCTCCAGTCAAAGGTTATTTATTTATTTATTTATTTATTTATCAACGAGCAATTATTGCCTAATTAAAAGACAAATATAATTGCCAAGTTAGAATCTTAACCTAACCTATCACTTAGAAAGATATCAAAACCTAAGAAAACAATAAAATATCAAAAAATAGGTATATAGCATTATATTAACATAAAACATAAGGTAAAAACTACAAAATACTTAAATAAAATTACCTAACTTTTTTTTTTAATTTCTTCAATTATAATTATTTGGGGACATTAGAACATCACTGGACTTTAGCTGGGATTTAAAAACTTTTTGATTATCAAAACAGTCCAGTCCAACCTGTCAGAATACTGATTAGCAAATCTAGCCGACCTTGACAGAAAATAATTATATCCGTAGTTAGTACGATGGTGTCCAATTTGGAAAGGCTGATTAAGCCTTGTTTGTCTAGAAGGGACATGGATATTGACTTTTGCCAGTAGCTCTGGACCAAAGCTATATAAGTGCAATAGATTATAGAATATAGTAAGATCCTTGTAAATGCGTCTGATCTGGAGAGTAGTAATATTAAGGGAACTTTCAACCCGTGAGTAATTGATATCTTCAACTTCATGGCGTTCCTTAAATGAAATAAATCTCAAGAATTTATGTCGGACTCTCTCAATAGCCTTGATATGGACATTGTAGTAGGGGGACCATACACAACAACAGTAATCTAGATGAGGCCTCAAAAGAGAACAGAATAATATTTTGATGGATGCTATATTAAGAAAATCTTTAGCACACCTTTTAATAAAACCTAGGATTTGAAGTGATTTTGATACTGCCATTGATATATGGGATATTTAAGATAAGTTGGAATCAAGGACTAGACCTAGATCTTCAATTTGACAAACAGATTCCAAAGGACAACCATTTATAGTGTAGACTTGTTCTGTGGGATTCCTGCTACGACTGAATACCATCAGATGGCACTTTTTAACATTAAGTTCTATACCATTAGTTTCGCACCAGTTGCTGAGACGATCTAAGTCGGCTAGCAGTTCTAGGCAATCAGTATTATTCTTGATTCTTATGTATAATTTCAAGTCATCTGCAAACATTAGGAAGAAGGCAAAGACAAAAGAGGATGCAATATCATTCACATATAAATAAAAAAAAAGAGGGCCCAGGTGTGAACCCTGGGGTACACCCGATGGTACTTTAATTTCTATTGACTGGAATCCCTGAATACGCACTATCTTTCATATAGGTAAGAGGAAAGCCATTCTAGAAGGACACCCTGAATTTCCAGACTCTGCAACTTATTAATTAAAACTCTATGGTAAACCCGATCGAACGCCTTTGCAAAATCAGTGTACACAGCATGAACTTGATAACCCCCCTCGAAGGATTCCAAGAGATAGTCAGTAAATGTTAAAAGATTAAGTTCGGTGGAGCGATGAAAAATGAATCCAAATTGTTGATCGTAAAAACAGCCTTTTAAACTAGCAGACAAGTAGTCACAAACAAGACTCTCAAATACTTTAGGGATACAACTTAATATACTGATGAGCCGATAGTTATTGGCCTGTCAACTATCTCCAGACTTCAATATAGGAGTAATAAAACTTGTTTTCCAATAGGCTGGGAATGTCCCGGTCTTTAAAGAGAAGGGAAAGACATGGAAAAGAGGTCTAGAGAACAAGAAGCTACAGTGTTTGATAAGTGATGGTGGGAGGCCATCAGGTCCTGGTCCCTTGTTAATATCCAATTTGAATAGTTTTTCATAGAAAGACGAGATAGGTATATTATATTCCGACAGATTGATCTTCCCAGAAGGCAGAATGTCCTACAATACACAGTCTTTATCACTATAAGTTTTGGAAAAGTATTCAGCAAACAAATTGACAATCCCAACTCCAGAAGAACTAGTAACACCATCATAGCGCATTACAGAAGGTATATTATTTTTGGCTTTTCTGCTATTAACAAATTTTCAGAAATTTTTAACATTATCTCTAAGAGACGATCCAGTTAAAGCCACGTAACTTTGATAACATTCCTCTTTTAGGTGTTTACAGTGAGCCCGTAATCAAGAAAACTCATTATTACAATCATCTAGTGATCTACTCCTACAGTATTTCTTATGCAATTTCTTTTTTTCAATTATCGTTCGTTTTAGTTCTGGAGAAAACGAAATATTTTTTGCTGAATACTTTCTCAAAGGAACAAAAATATCAATTGTTAGGTAGACAATGTCGTAAAAAATATTAACCATATCCTCAAGAGATTTGTTCTTGAATAAATCATCCCAGTTAAACAGGGAAAGGAAACTTGATACTTCTTGAACATTCATCATCGACTTAAAATCCCTATAATAGCTATCCTCAGTCAATCCCGAGTTGTTAAAACAATTTGATCCATATTCAACCTCAAAAGACAGTGGAGGATAATAAATATCTTCCGGAAGTAAGGCGTTCTCTGCCGTAAATATCTCAGGGCACCATCCTGCATAAAAACCAGATCAAGTAAGTTGTTGTTAACATTTCTAACTGAGTTAAGTTGATAAAGGTTATGGTATAGACATAAAAATGAAAGCACTTGTATGGATTCAACTTCGTTTGGTGGAACTGCCGCCATAGG